CGGTTCCCTTGCAGCAGCATGCACTTCAGCTAGCAAAGCATGATTTAAGCCTCATCAAGTAACTGCATGATGTTTAAATGAATAGAGGCACTATTTAAAAAAAAAAAAATTTCCTAGTTCAAGCAGCAATCTTCACTGTCTTCTATGCATGTCTGAAAGACTGTTCAATGGTTGAGTTTCAAAAGAAGAAGTCAGCAAAGTGCTGTGACTGCTTGAAATAGCCCATCACTGCTTGCTTGTGCCATTAATTCCAGCTTAAGCAGTGTCCTGGATATAGTGTATCCTGCAAGGAGAAAAAGAGAAGTTTCTCCCCTGATCTAGATGAAGGACAGCTATTCTCAGGTTACTAACTTGCACTTCCCTTGTCTATATTCTGTATAATGAAAAGTAGGCCGATTACTCTGTCATTTAATCGCTATTTGGCACTATACCTAGAATGAGAAACGTGAGCTGAGATCATACCTGGGTTGGACATAAAAAAAGATGTCAGTATCTCTGCTGACTTACCTAACCCCTGGCTTACAAAGACAGGCTCCCTTTTTCTACTGCTGTGCTAGTTCTGCATCATACCTTCAGCTACCACGAGTCCTACACTGGCTGGACAGAGCCCTGGATTCAAGAGGAGGCATAAAGTAAAGCAAAGTGCTGGGATGAGGCTTCTCCCTGCCAGAAGAGCCCACAGGCTCCAAGGGGTTGTCTTCTTGGAGCTGTGAGCTCTGACTCCTTGAGCTGAGAGGGTGACAGCAGTGAGTCCAAAAGAAAGAACATTAGGGAAACTGAGCCTTTGGCTCCTTTAGAAAACACCTACTGGCCCAGAGGTACACATAGAAAGATGCTTAAATTCTGGTGCTTAGAAAGAAGAGAGGTACTCCCAAATCAGGAGACACCTGAGAACACGTATGCACCTTCCTTAGCGTGGCCCCTTAGAAAACACGTACTCTGGCAAAGGAAGTCACTTGCAAGTGTGTGCGGTGGATGCTCTTTTGGGTCTCTCACTTACACAAACGCACTTCAGTTCTCATACAACTGGGAACCAAATCCACTGCTCCTTGCCTTCTAGGGAAACCACACCATACAGATAACACAGGGTCAACTTGTACCTTTCACAGGTTCACTGGTTGTGCATCTCTAAGAGTACGACCAACTCCTCTCCCCAAGTGCCAAGCGGTTACTGACATAATAAATGCTAAAGTGGTTGCTAACTGAGTTTAAGTGCACTTGTCTTTCCTGGGTAGAACAATTAAGAAACCCTATCGTGATACTGCTGGCAAAAATATCTGCACAGATGCTATGCCCAGCACCACAAAGAAACACAGATAGTTTGAGGAAGCTGAGGAGAACACAATTTTCCCTGCAGCCCTAGAAACAGTTGTTCCATTTGCTCCCACACACTCTCTTTACATAAGCCCTTGTTTGGGAGTCTAATGAGCCACTTGTATAAACAAAACAATAACTTCCTGCATTTCTAACACTGAAGAGTCTCAAAACATTCAATAAACATTAGCTATTTAATAAGCAATTTGCCCCCTGAAGTTAAGGAAGTATGAAAGCTGTGACCCCAAGGAGAGCTGAGGAACAGAGACCAAGAAAGAAGGCAAACTGCCAGCTCGGGGGAAATGAGGAACAAAATCTCACTCAGCTGCTAGTAGAGCCTCTACAAACTGTATGCTTCACATGCTATCAAGTTACTTGTTTTGGGTAGATATTGCACAACGTGGCAATGAACAGTGCTGATGACATGCTAGAAGACCAAAAGTATATTTTGTTGTTTTTAATTGACCATGGATTTTCATCTATGACAAAAGTACCCTTTGGAAGCATGCAATGTGGTGAGCACACAAATCTTCAAAAGAAGAACAAGATAGGCTTCAGAGCTGCGGGGGAAAGTACCGGGAGAATTAACAGGAGTTTCCCAAAATTAATATCTTGGCATCTGGCATCGTCTTTGTAGCTGTCTTAAGACATCACAAAAGTATAGGAATGAATGCACTGACGGTTTTACATTTAGAAGTACAACAGAAAAGTTGTGCTGGTGAGCACAGAGAGAACGGGAGAAGTATTTTTCAGGAACCAAGGTGTACATAGGTTAACCATAACCACCACTAAGAGCACAGAGCTGTATGGTGGTTGCTGGGGACTCCAGCAGGCTTTGGGCATGCTCTTTCCCGAAGGCTCTTCTCAGAGCTATATCTGCCCCCTCCCCATCCCAGCAGTCCTCAGGTTCGTTGCTATCTGCTCTCTTCTGCCAAATGCCACTGGCACGTGATGAACGAAGACTGTTTAACCGACAGAGAAATGAGTCTATCCAGGAAACAGATTCCTGCTCCTGACTGCTAATCTTAAGGAAGCTGCCATGTCTGCCTGGAGGTCACTTCTGTAACACTTCTGGTTTGTCTAAGGGGATGCTCCCCTCCTCTGGGGTTTCAGATCCTTCCCTTCCATCCTACCTCTTGCCAAAGCAGCACTGGCGAGCCTCTACCAAAGGTGATATCTCTCCCCAGACAGCCGTTTGAATTACCAGCCTCCAAACTGGCCCTCATAGATTGGCAGATGTAAGCTACAGACCTCAAAGTCCACATCGGGCACTCAGCCTTGATAGACCATGTCCTCTTCAGCTTGCTACTCCTGGAGCAACAGGATGCCTCAAATTTGCCAGCTGCCCTGCAGTCAAGCTTAAGCCCACGTAAACTTACCGGTAGAGCTAGATGAGCTTAATAAGATGTATTGCATTAGTTATCTGGTGATAAAGAGAGAGAAAGCACAGCACCACACGTGCTGGCTGCTGTCCCTCCGAGCTGCTCTCAGGCCTGTGCTCCAGGCAGGAGTAGCTGCTCACGGCCCGCTCGTCCCATCATGGCTCGTGCAGATCCCTGAGTGAGCGGCAATCCCTCGTGCAAGCCAATGCTAAGCTTTGTTTCCTCTCCAGCTGGGCTGCAGCTTGGGGTGAGCTCTCCACTATAATCCCCTTTTCCATAGATTTCCATAGGAGGGTTCAGCAAGCCTCCTTGCCTACTTCAGCTGAGGTACCAGCTCACATCTCAACTCGTTATTTGTAACATGTGTCAGTTCAGCAGCCTGCCTCACAGCAGGCCCTGCAAGCAGCTGTGTTGACACAGCAGAGAGCGATGCAGTGTGGCGGGAGCAGCCTGAGTCACTGGGGCACCCATGCTGTGGGGTGACCAGCTTGGCCAGGCCGCAAGGGCCAGCGGGCTGTGAGCCAGCCTCTCAGCCAACACAGCACAAAATGTAACCGTCAACCTGGCAGGGGAACAGGGAACAGTTTTTCTAAAACACAGTTCACATTATTGATGTTGACTGAAACTACTGTAGAGAAACATCCGGAAGCCCCCTAAGGAGCTGGAGCCGCTGTTGCTTACCAAGACCAAGGGTTAGGTTTACGATGCAGGTCAGCATCATTTCACCCTGTAGATTTCTGGCCATAGCTGACCATGCTTACACAAATAGCAATGGCTGATCTTAAAGCTGCCCTCAAAACAATACTAATCTACCATTCACACTATAAACCATTTACCTCCAGCACTCATAGCATCTACTTAAGCTGAGACTTCCCAGCAGACTGTCCTTCATTTGTCTTCTCACACCCTCCCATTTAGCAGGTGTATACAGCTTATGCACATGATAGAGGTTTCACACACAAAGCCCCCCAGCTACAGTTCTGTGATTTCTCATTCCTGGCTTCTTGACCTTCATTTAAACTCTCTAACCTGCCTATACGAAGAGATGAATCCAGTCCCCACAAGTCCAGAAAACCAGGAAGATATCTATGAGCTGCACTAGAAACGTCCAGCTAGTGGGCAGATACTGGAAACAGAGGATCCCAAACCTTGTGCTTGAGATGTTTCTCTAAATAACTTTTTTTTACCTGGCTGTATTAACATATCAGAACCTAGTGGACACTGGGCCTTCCTATTCTCTGCTATAAATGGAATAGTTGAAATGCTACTATTACAATACTCTTGAACTTAAGTGGTATTCTGCTGGTGAAGCTGTTAAAGTCTTCTGCAGGACAGTAAACAGATCAACACCAGTGTCTGTCCCCAGCAGTGTTGCAATTCAGAGAGCAAGTGCTTGAGTAGCTTTTCAAGCAGCCATAAGTGTAGGACCCAACAAGTTTTGGATGGTCCTGGAAAAATGACTTTCTGAATTGCCTTCTTGAGGCCTAGCTTTGCTTGAGCTGGTTCCAAACGGAACAAGTCCCAGAGAAATTAAGGAGATTCTCGTTGCCAGAGAGGTAGAAATTAAACTGCAACTCACTCTTATTAAAAAAAAAAAAAAGTGCTTCTAGAACTTGTTTAAGGCTCAGTCACTGATGAGGTTTATACATTGTCTATAGAAGAGTCCTCAGGTTGCCCTCCATGAGGGCAGAAACATGTAAGGCCACGCCAGCATGGCCCAATAGGCAGGGAGTGACCTTCAGAGAAATTACAGCACAACCCTCCCCCAGCACCCAAATGCGAGATAAGATGATTCATCAGCTTTACCATTGTTACAAGGAAACCCAGTCTAAGCTTCTCAGGTACAGCTGCTTATACGAGATAGTTCACTTAAGACCTCATCACAGGTACAGACATCAAATGAAGCAAACGTTTACACATATAGATCAAGGAGAACCCACCTGTGTACACACAAACACAAGTTTAAAAAAAAAAAAAAAGACCAGGTTTCCTTAGATAACTGCACTGCTAAGGAAAAACTTCTGTTTGAAACAGTAGATATTTTAAAAAGGGGAAGAAGATAGACGTGAGTCTTCTGCATACTTATTTAATTATAAGAGTACTCTTGAGTCTCCTCCCTCACTGTTCCAGCTTCTAAAGGACATAGATAGGGAAATTTCACTAACAACTCTTTTTGGCCTCTTTTCAGGCATATACACAAGAACATACATGTGAATTTATACCAAAAATGCTGACACAGGTGACAAACTGAGCTGTGGAGAAAGTCAGTATTGCTACAGCACAGTGCCAGTAGCCTGGCAGTGGCTAGAATTCCTGTGACTGGACACCTTTGTGCCGTGGTTTCAGTGACATGGTCTTCTTAGGAAGAAGCTGAGGAAGAACATTAGGTGTAACCCCTCCTTGGGCAATGGTCACACAAGAAAACAGCTTGTTCAGCTCCTCATCGTTTCGCACAGCCAGCTGGATGTGCCGTGGCAGGATCCTGGCTTTCTTGTTCTCCCGTGCAGCATTTCCTGCCAGCTCCAGGATCTCAGCGCTCAGGTACTCCAGCACTGCAGCCAGGTAGATGGCAGCACCAGGACCTATTCTCTCAGCATAGTTCCCTCTCTTCAGGAGCCTGTAGACACGACCCACAGGGAACTGCAGACCAGCCTTGGCCGATTTGGTTTTCTTCGGTGCAAGGAGAAGCTTTGCATTTTTCTTCCCATGTTCAGACATTCTAACACCAATCTAGTACACAAAGAAGAGGAATTAAGATAAACATGAGGTTGGCTGCTTTTAATGCTTTAAATTATAAAGAGACAGGAGCAAAAAAAAATGCTGAGCATTAAGTATCTTAACCACTTTCCTCATTCCACTGCCTTTTCCAATTCCCTTAGAAGTCAGTTCCCCTCACAGAAAGAACAGCTCACTGTTGTTTCATGCTTTTGTCTGAAGGAGAAGTCCAGCTGTTGCTCTGGAAAGGCCTGGCAGGTTTCCAGCCCAGCAAGAGTCATCTGTAAGCTCAGTTGGAGCAGCAAGTCAGTCACCTGGCAGATCCCCCAAACTTCTCTAGAGAGTGAGGTAGAACTTAGGAGCAAGGTCCTCTGACCCTCTATCAAGAAAGAAGCACTGCTGAGAAGAAAAGGTTTCAAGATATCTACAAGCATTCAGAAAACTTCCTGGAAAGCTTCACTGAACTTACCCCAGGTAAGAAACTAGGCAGTTTCTGCAGTTACAACCTTGAGAAAACCAGAGCTAGAAACTCATGTCTTTGTCTGAAGTAAGAGTGTCAGGAATAAAGATTTCATCTGCTGGAAACAGCTTCAAATGGATCTTGCCTTCCAAAAGTGAGCAGACCTATTGTTGCAAGATAATAGGCCACCATCAGGAATGAGGCTTATGGGAAGAAGAGAAGCTTTGTTTTGTGCTGGACACTTAAATTACTCTACTCAGTGCACTACACCTCAGACTGCCACAAATACACAGGACTGTATTTTTGCATGGTATTGCATCCATCTTAACAAGTCTCCACCACTTATTACTGACACAGAATCTCTGTTATTGAATAGTACCAAATACTCTTCGAAGTCTGTAACACAGGGCTGCTAGGAGAGGAACATAGGAAAATTCTGCTGTTGTATACAGAACTCTTAAGTTTTTTTTTTTTTAAACTAGTAAAAAGATATTTTACCTTGAATCAATGAGGAACTAAATCAGGTACTAAACTAAAAGCCACTCAAAAGTACAATAGAAATTATTCTAGGAAATTTTTGAGTACCCTGCCTTTTAGAGTAACTGAATTCTAAGTTTAAAAAAAAAATAAACAAACCCTTAAACAATAGCCTTATACTAGTATCAAACTTATAAAAACCATTATCTCACTGAGGAGAGCATCTAACATGAAGAAAGCATACTTTCCTTAAGAATAAACTTTTACCTTAATAAACTAAGCTCTTAGTCTGTTTTCCAACAATGCTGCTACCCAAATCTAGTAGATTGCTCCTTTTGTAAAGCACTGCCCCCTTTTAAACTCATACATAGCAGTAGCCATATCATTACCAGTCCTTACTGCATTTAATGCCACCTGGGTGACTGAAGGTTCAGCTACTCGGAATGGAAACCAATCAAGGTTACAACACAAGTGCAACTCAGAGAGTCCCTGAGAGCATGACAATCAGTCACTGTTCCTCATAGAGCTGTTTAGCACCTTGTTAGCCCACCTACTCCTGTGAAAACAAGGAGAATATTAACTGCCTCAGAGAATTGCACTACCAATTAATTGACAGTTAATTTATTACAGCTTTAGGCCCATCAGGTAAAAAGTGATAGGAGCAGTTATTTCAAGGCGCTAAAATGTGTACATTGGCTTCAAAATTACAAGCCTCTGTCTAATTTCCCTCACTAACCTCAAGTGCTAGTATAACCTTCCCCCAAAAGGTGACCAAATGATTTTGAACATATATGAAAATGATTATTAAAAGGAATGCTCTGCCTTCCCCACTTTCTTCCTCCTCCAGCATTTACTTCCTGGGACTCAGTTACAGTGCATCTGGTGCATCTTCCTCAACCATCCTCACACTGGGGATTAGAATGGATTTTTAGCTACAACAGATGAGGGAGCTGAATGGATGCTGGAAGGGGGCAAACCTCACCTTGCTGAATTCATCAGTAATTAAAACCAGTAACCTATAAATACCACGGTTATTTTTGATACCAGCCGTGGTTATACTGCTTTACGACCATATTGTAGAGCCTGTGAAAGCTCAGGACATCTGACTTTGGGTTCTTGCTGTTCTTTGACATTTCCTCGTCTTTCATAGAGGTTCCCTCCACCCCTGGTCAAAAGCATACACAATTGTGTTTAGGATATATGTCTTTTCCAGGGCTGTGTGTCTTTTCCAGTAGCTGAATCATTTTTATTCCAATACATAGGTGCTGAAAAGTTGAGCCCTGGCTCAAGAGAAACTTTCACAGACCTGCTGGGTTGGGAGACATCCACTCTATGTTACTGTGAAGCTGCAGAGGCGATCTTTCAAATCACTATGCTATCTAGCTAATCTACAAATGGGTTAAACTACTCGTTAGAAGAAAGTGAAACTGTTTTTGGGAAAAAAAAAAACTTTAAAAAAATGGATCTCTAATGTTTGATTTGGACCAGTACCACATCCCAAACTCTTTATCTTTGATTGTAAGTAAAGATAGAGCCACACTGCTCTCCTAATGTCGTTTATCATACAGAAATGCCAGGCAAAGGCATGCCCTGGCAGCTGCTTGAACGCTGACCGTGCCTTGCAGCCACTGCCTTGCAAGCTCTGTTTGGTGCAGTGCAGAGCAGAGCCACACGACAAGTTTGCATCCAGGAGCAGCTGGATGCAACAGCTCTCTAGATTAGCAAAGGGTGCTATAAGCACTGCATTTAAAACTGTGCATGAAATAAGTACTTCACTTGAATCTGCTATCGTTACTTCAAGCCCTTAGACTTTTGCTTGGTCCCAAGGAATTATCATTCCTAGGCCTGTTTTCCCTCACTCTGGTCAAATGGAGGAACTAATTTCATTTGCAAGTACCCTTTTCTCCTGTACCTTCCCTAAAGCTTTTTCTCCCCCAGTTACAGGTGTAAACACACAGCACAAGGCTAAAGCTGCATACACTACATTTTTACTCTATTCACAGAGCTTAAGACCTGCACCCAGCCATTTTTACTTCTTGTTACATCATATCCCCTCTTTCCTGACTTCGGCAGGTAGCTACAGGTCAGCCAAGTCCTCATCAAATTTCTTTTGAAAAATGGATAAGAATATGAAAATTGCTCTAACTACTCATCACCTTAGAAATAAAGGTGTTTTTCTTGATCTAGTATCCTTCTCTCTTCCTGAAGAGGCATTCCTGCCTAGTGCACCTCTGAGGGAGCCATTTGTGCTATACACCACTCCTCTCAGGATCATAAAACCTGAGCAGTGGGTGGGGGCATAGGTGCAAGGTCAAATTGAACAGGGCCAACTAAAACAGCAGACCTCTGTCAAACACAGCATCCATTCCCTGGCTGCAGTTTAGGAAGCTAGTCCTAACCAGCACTTAATTGTGCTAGATACTATGAATGCTGTGGCAATGATCTTAATGCACCTGCAGATCACTGTGCTTTCCAGCTCAACAGCAAATCTCAGCACTCACTATGAGCAGAGAGAAAGCCCTACACACTCTTCAGAGGAAAAGCTTTCAGTAACTTGGTCAGCAGAAGCCTGAGGGCTTGTTTGGATCTGGCAAAAACCTGTGATCCTGCACTGACAGACAGAAGCAAGACAGTTATTCACCTCTAGTATCAACACTGATACTGTACTAGGTTTTATATGTACCACCTATGGCTAGTATGACAAGATGGAGAAGCTAGGGATTTAGGCTTGTGTTGGAGCGCTGTCTGGAGACAAGTAGCTGTCCACTGCTTATCTATGATCCAAATGACTTTAAAGCACAGGGTTACTCACCTCTAAAACAAAGTTAGACTAGTTATGAAATGTTAAACTAATTGTGCTATGAATCTGTAATGGGGGAAGTTTACATGAATAGCTATGTATGTCTGGTCTCCTTTGCCTATTGCACAGCCATTCTCTATAAGACCTTTTCAAAGTAAACATGTTTTCAAGTTTAAAAAAAGCATTTGGGTAGCAGGTGAGCTGGGCTCAGAAAGAAGAAAAGCGGTATTGCATTCTAAGAACTTTATTACAAGCTTTAAAAATACATTTAAAATAGTGGAAAAAATACTTGACTAAGAGGTAAGCACACACTTAGTATTAGTGCAACTGAGTCCCATCATCCTTAAGTGCACAAATCAGACCAGGAAAAGCAAGTTTCAGTGGCTACCAAGTTGCTCCTGGGAAGGAGCAGTTTCTTTGAGAGTTTTTTTGGGAAGGAGCTGGGAAAGGATATTTGGCATAACCCCTCCTTGGGCAATGGTCACACAAGAAAACAGCTTGTTCAGCTCCTCATCGTTTCGCACAGCCAGCTGGATGTGCCGTGGCAGGATCCTGGCTTTCTTGTTCTCCCGTGCAGCATTTCCTGCCAGCTCCAGGATCTCAGCGCTCAGGTACTCCAGCACTGCAGCCAGGTAGATGGCAGCACCAGGACCTATTCTCTCAGCATAGTTCCCTCTCTTCAGGAGCCTGTAGACACGACCCACAGGGAACTGCAGACCAGCCTTGGCCGATTTGGTTTTCTTCGGTGCAGCTCCAGGTCTGCCAGCCACCGCATTTTTCTTTCCACGTCCAGACATCTGAGGAGCATGAAGAGACAAAAGTTGGGATCTTAAAATGATCTGGGTGCTTGGGCCACAGCTAACTCATAGCAAGAGACCAGGTGATGGAGATGACAGTGAGCTAAGCCACATTTTTCACTCCTCCACATTAAGAAAAAACAAATTGTTATTTTTGCTAGAAAATATTTTAAAGAGCCTACACCACAGTTTAACAGTAGTGCTAGGATTTTAACTACTATTGCTCTCAGTACAGCCCACCTTTTAGCAGATAGATCTGGATGAAAAAACACTTGTTTGACAACTTGTCAGAAAAGACTTATTGGGGTAGCTATGTAGAACTCAGGCTGTTTTTCTTGTCTTCAGTGGGTATTTGAGATTGAAACAACAGATTTTCTTAAATATCATTTTCCTCAATATCATTTTCCTCAAACATCATAACAATTATCTCAAAGTTAACTTGAGACCAGCTCTGCTGCTTTTTCTAAAAAAAAAATAAGCAATATTTTGCATTCTTTCATCATTCTTTTATTTTGAAGGTAACAACTGAGGAATTCCTACAGCCTGCATCATCTTATCCTCCAAGAGGTTTTCATAGAGAGTTTTAAGTTAGCTTCCCTAGGGATATGCTGTAGGTGCTATGAGCATACTGATTCTATTCTGCATATAGAAAAGGAAGAACTGATTTGGATAAAGCACTACAAGTCTAAGAATATAAGTTATGGTTTGTTTACCATAAACTCAACAAGGACATTCAAGTCTTTAGTGAATGAAATCCAGTTGGAATACTTGGAATGGGGGGGGGGAAGGGTAAAATTCTCATGTAAATAATGTTTCAAACTTACGAGTAAATAGGATAGTTAGTTAGCTTTCACCAGTTATTTACAATACACAGGATGACCATCCACCATTAGATTAATGAAGGGTTTTTGTATAATTTTTCTAAAAGCTGAATATTTAGGGGGGAAAAAAAACAGTAAGATGGGAGAGGAGAGGAACAAAACAAGAAAGTTCAAAAAAAAACATAACACCAAGCCATAACTCATTAGCCCTACTACCAGACAAAAATCTTCATATTCCATTCATATTCTTCATTTAAGTCAGATACAGACACATTCTGCTATAAATACAGCTACTTTCAAAATAACCTAACAAGAGCCTAAAATAATCCCAGACCTTTCACTCTGTAATATAGATGAAAGAATTCAGCCTGTTACCTTCAAATCTTTGTCCTGGTCTGTATTTTGTTATAGCACACACTCAAAGACAAACAAGGCACATAACAGCCTTTCCTGCTAGCCCTGGGACTGTCTTTTATTAGCAGCTTTTTCTCCTCATTAGTGGGTCACCTGGACAGTTAATGAGTCATTCCCACATGTGGCTCACCTTCCTCCTAATGCTGGACTCGGGGGAAAGGAAAAACTGTGTTACAGACACACAGGAGGCAGAAGCCAGGCTGTCAGGGCTCCAAGGGCTGAGCTGCATTTCAGGCTCACTGTAACATGTGCTCAGCTTTTAACCCCTCTGGCTGGGCTATTCCTGTCCATACTTCATATGTAAAAACAATTCCCCCCCCACCTCAAAAAAGCGCTTGTACTTTTCTGTGTTTGCTTTCTGGTGCCGAAAATGGGTTCCAATCGGCTATGGGTGTGAAGGGCAATTCAGCCACAGAAGATGAATACTAAACTAGCACGCCCTCCTGAAAGCCCAGGATCTGACAGAGCATTTGTACAGGAACCAACAGCGAAGCCTTTATTTCAGCATGCCTGGTACCAACTGCGGGTCAGATCGAGAAAGATTCTGGCGTTTAAAGAGACCTTGCTTGTGAAAGACTCCAAAAAGAGACCTTGCTTGCGAAAGACTCCAAAATTTTGACCCTGAAGAGCTCAGCTCAGATGGTGCCTCACTGGAAGGTGCCTAGATCCTGTAGCCCTTTACTTTCTAAACTGAAGTTATTACACCATCTGTAAGTGCAGCTGAAGCTCTCTCTTTATGCCCCCAGGTATTCTCCTGAATGACTAGGGTCCTCACTAAGCACAGCTGCAGCTACCTATTTCTTCTAATTCCTAGGTGGAAAAGATGATTGTGTCTCAGAGGTAGAAAAGTGATTGTACTTTCCCTTTGGTAATGCAGATTAGCCCTTAGCACAGTTGCCCACAGGGCAGAAAGCTAGAATCCAGCCCCTCATCGCAGAGCTGACGTTTCTTATCTCAGCGAAAAAGTTAGTTTTGGAGGAGGGTTGGGACCCCCTGGTTCAGGGTGCCACTGCTACTCGCACGTCCCTGCAGCACACCGCAGCTTCAAGCAAGGACACGCCAGCCCGGGGCCAGGCAGGAGGCGAGAGGCTCGCAGCTGTGTAGCCATGTCACAGGAGCGCCCCTGAACTTATTTTAGCAGGAAGCCATTCTCGTGACGCCTGCAGAAAATGCACTTTCTCTTCCTGCCTGTTTGCTTCCAGACGAGAAAGGCATCCTAAAAACGACGACGAGGACAACAACCACCCCCCACGCCCAGTGTTAAAAGCTAGTATCCTACCTACTTTTAACATGTGAAAAGAGATTTCTGGAACGTGTTACATATTTTCCAATCTGATCTCAAATTGCTTGTTTTGCTGTCCGCGCCATACCGCTTGTGTGCGGGTGTGTTTAGAGGGCCGCTTTTAGAGAATATAATTTTGTATCCTTTGCTGGTGAAACAATCACAAAAGGGGAAAGGCAGTCTTCGTGCAGGAGCAGAGGCTCACTGCAGATCGGAGTCAGCTCCGCTGGGGGCATACGGTGGGCACCAGGAAAAGTTTCTAGACCACGCAAGTTACTAGGTGGTGCCACCTGGAAATCATGTAAGAATGCCCAAGCTCATTATATGTTCCAGTATTTCCAAGTTACTGTTGATTTGAGGGGTATGAGGAGAGGATGGGGATGTTGTTCCACGCACATATTTAAAGCCCTGGTGAGAAGGGCTTTGGGCAGGACTGCTGTTGCTGTCCATCAGAGGTGAAGCGGTGCTGTCTCCTCTAACGCAGAGCTCAGGACCAAAAGGAAAGGGGAGACCCGAGTCTCACTTAGCCTTAGCCTCCTGCCATTGACCCAGACAGATGCTGGGAGAGATATGCTGAGAAGGACTCGTGACAGGGACGCAGCAGGCTGCCTTGAAAGGTTCGAAATGGTGATTTCTCCAGCTTACAGACCCCTTTATCATGGCACAAGATAAATACCGTTTGAGGAAGATTCTGATGCTATGCTTAGTTGCGTAGGGCAGATACCGACGCGAGGGATACTTTGTCAACGTCTAAAATCCAAGCAGAAAAGGCATAGGGTTTTATTAACACAAAAAGCCCGCTATCAGTCCCAAGAAAAGGTCACAAGGCTTCATCACTCCTATAATCTGGAAAGAATTGTATATATTTTCATACAGCTTGACTAAAAAGTAGCATTCCTTGTAATATAAAATTTTTGCCCAACGTTTAGTTTTTAAAAAAGAGTTTTTTTCAAAAGTAAACGTTGCCAGACTTTCAAATATGCGTTAAAACAGTGAGCAGCTTCATTATTGAGCTTTATGTTATTAACAAGGCTGTAGCAACTGATGCTTGATAATATGCCTATTCCTTTTTTATCATGTCACTGCTTTGGCTTGCAACAGAGATTAAAGCCCTATTACAATGACTGGATGCATACAGGGGAAAAAAAGAGGGCCTTTTTTTTCCCCTAAAGGCTCACCGTCTACTCCTCCAGTCCTGCTAACCTGCCAATGTTTACTGTTTCTCACATGAATAATCTCAAGGTGACTGACTGCAATGACTCTCCTGAATTCTGTGCAGAAGAAAGCCATGGCTCACACAGAAACTTGCTGAGCTCTCGCAGGCCTGCGACTTGCGTGGATAACCCTCGTGTGAAGCCCCTTCCAAAGCACGCGCTGGGCAGCCCAGACGCACAGCTAAGGGCGGGTGGGGGAAGCCCGGGCTCCCACCACAACCCGCCAGAGAGGCACCTGAGCTGCCCCTGGTACAGCCACCACCTTCCGGAGGGAATGGTGGCAGCGAGGCTCCCAGCTTGGGGAGCCAGGGCAGGCTGGGACTTAGCAGCGCTGCGTTACTCGTGTGCGCACACCGGGGCGAGCAGCTTGGGCCCGGCGCCCAGGACACCAAGCGAGCTTCCCTTTGGGAACCCGTGCAGATACAGCAGGGGGAAAACAGATTTTTTCTTTTTTTAAAAACGTAATAGCTATGAAAAACAGTGATAGTATGAGAGAAGGGGGCGGGGGAACCCAGCAAGAGTTGAAAAACTTGAATTCATTTAAAGGAAACGCTGCTGGAACAGGAAACTTTTTTTTTTTTCCCCTTTCTCCCCTCCCTTGCAGTTCCTGTCGAAAACCCACCTACTTTCAGCTCTTCCG